AGGAGCAGTGAAATTCGTAGAAATTATGATTAAGTATCTTGCTAAATTTGACAAGATAGGGACAAATTAGCAAAACTTCAGAAGAGAAAAGTCAACCACCCTAATGTACTGCAATTTTTACATATACCAACAAAAAATACATGGAATGTGTACTACAGATTATCTTTCAGAAAGCTTTTGAAATAATTTATTTTAAGAAATCCTCTACTGAGGAAGCTATGAGCGTGTCTACACTATGCAGTGTGTATATTGTAATATATTATTATATATTATAATATGTTATATAGCATCGTGTGACACATTCTCTGTTTAGAGCTGCACCAGCTCTCTGGACTCACAAGCATTATTACCATGCCTATTCCAATTGGCCCTTCTGAGAGAAAAGTTTTAAAAAACAATACATAATTAACTCATTGACAAAATACATTGTGAAACCAGTAGCTTGTTGAGACTTAGAATTTATAAAAGGATAAAATGTTAGTTGATCTATTAAAAACACATCTAGTTACAATACATTTAAAGAAAATCAAGAAATTAATCATGGATTCTAAAGTCCTAAGCTTCATGGCAGTTGCCAACCACTAAGAAATGAACTTAAGAATTATATCCTTTAAGAAGAATAATTGTTCCTTGCCAGAGTTCTGGCATCGTCTACAGGCACTGGTAATAGTCTTCGCAGGAAACCAGACACTAAGCTATACTGACCACTATTTTGTAAATAGACAGTCCCACACCACTAAATAAATGTGCAATTTTATGGTAAAGGGAACTAAATTATTTAATAATATTATTAAGCTCAGGAAATAAGTCTGTCATTCTCAACAACAGGGTTGGCACATGGTACTTTAAGGTCCATGATCTACTCTTTTTTTTCTTTTGATTTTAAGATACTTCTCCATATTCAGGTAACAGACTTTATGCCAAAATTTTACAAAATCCAAAGCAATTTAATATGAACTATCCCTTGTCATCTGTTGATTAATAGAGCACTGCAAAGCTGTTATGTAGCAGAAGAATTCTGCCCTGAGTTGTCACTACTTGAAGGTCTTACTCTACCACACTATTAATGAATTGAGGATTGAGGCATGGTAAACTATTTTCTGCATTTCAAATTGGAGTAAGTGATTCTGTAGCCCCTTAAATTCTATCAATTTAAGATATACATAAAGGGACTAGTGGAAGAAAAAAAAAAAAAAGATACTTTTAAAGCATGTTCCTCTGGAGTGAGAAGCCTTGTGAAATTGGTATTAATCTCCTTTTTCAGGATATTAACACTTTTATTGCAACATGACAATGATTAAGCATTCATTAAACAAGTAAGAAAAAAGAAAGAACAAACCAAAAAACCAAAACAGATATTTTTACAGCAACACACGTGGTGAAATAGTCCAAAATGCTCAAAACTGGGAGAGGAGATTACACTATATAAAAGCAGAGTTGTACTGAAAACGGATGTCTTTCTACCACAAGTCTGTAAAGTGAATTTCATGCCACTGTCATACCCTTTCTTTTTAAATATTTGAAATTGAGGGGTAGAAGCAAAACTGTAGATGATGGATTAGGAAGACCTGAGAAACAATGGCATAAGATTTCTTAAGTGTCCAAGTGCTATCAGAAACTACATACCATTTTATGTAATGAATTGGTCATGTGGCGCTCTGGCAGAGATTTAGGCAACTAGATCTATTTTCTTGAACTGTTACATTATTAGGAAACTAATTTCTGTAAGTAGATTATAATCCTTTACATATCATTAACATGGCTTAATGAAAAACAGAGAAATGGATGCTTTCTTTTTTTTTGTGTTTTTTTCCCTGCTTATTCTCACTGTTCTGTTAAACCTCTGTATTTCCAAAGCATCCTTTACTTTACTGTTCAACATTTCTGTGAAAGACTCGTCAGGAAGATTCTAAGTGTGCACTTGGCGTTTTGCCATGATTTTTCAGAGGACTAAGACTAGCCCTATGTACCATTACACAGATGTAATAAATGTCATTGCTACTAATGGGCTTTCCTTCACTATACTGAACTAACACAGAAAGTCTAAGTAAATGCAAATTGTTCTTACATGCAATAATTCTGATAAAAGAAAAGGACCATAATGGCTTTTTGAAGATCATGCTATTGTAGAGGGTGCCCTCATTAGATTCCTGAGTAATAATATTCCTTTGCACTTCATCAAATGTGAATGCATGTAATTAATTCCGCTTTCATAATCTCAGTCTCTGTCATTATCATGATCATAATAAGATCGACAAGTAAAAATTACACTATAACCAAGGTTTCAGATTTTCACAAACCTGATTGAACACTTTTGCACAAGATTGTCTGTACACCTGGAAAGGGTTGAAGACAGGCTGCTCTTCTCTGCCCTTCAGTGTCAAAGGCAGGCATTGACTGGCGGTAACACCGTCTTCAGAAGAATTCTCACAAGACAGCTGCTCTTTCAAATATTCCTTTTAGAAGAAAAAACAACGACAAAACAGTATGTGCCACCTAGCTTTCTAAGTGAAATTTGCTTAAATTTCAAGCATAAGTTTACAGTGTGCTTGATAGAAGTTCCTTATATTATAAGGAATAAGTAATCACTTACAAAATAGAAACCTCTTTAAGAGCAACACCATTTTACAACAAACAATAAATAACCTCCATGAACATCCATCCAACTGAAGCAAATCAGAATAATCTAAGCTATTGTTTTGAAATTGTCATCAAATTATATGTATCAGTTCTCATCTAATATATATGTATGTGGAAGTGAAAAACAAATGTTTTCTATGAGCTGTTCTAATGTATGACTGCTATTATATGATTTATTTTACATGATAAAGTATACACGAATATTTAAAGTTATTTTTTGGACAGCATTGAATAGTTACTACATGACCATAAATTAATTGTTTGATGAACGTGTTCAAACCAGTTGTTCAAACACAGGAAATAAATATTCTCTCACTCTTCAAAGTTATTTTTAATTGTTTAAGCATTCAAAGACTAGAAGTCATCTATGATTTACATGGCAATTTTAGAAACTATACCGTAACAGACACATGATTATTTTGGCCACAATCTTTTCTGTTTTCACTTCTTAAACTACTATGTAAATAAATCATCATTGCATGCCAATAAAGTGTTTTGATTAAATAGAGCCATTTTATGAAGAGCTAGATAATGAAACACTTACAGATCTATTTGCTGGAAGGACTACTGTGATTGAACAGTTTATTGTTATTAAAATGAAGCCCATAATGATAGGATTGCCATAACATTGAGCAAGTACTCAAGGTGAGTCTTCGTTAAGATGGGTGGATGCAAATGCTCCTCTTACTTTGCAGTACTACTGAGATCATAAAAATTTTCAGACGCAGGTGAGGGAACTTGTAAACTACCTGCCAAAGCACCTTGTACTCCTCAGTGGGTCTTTCTAAAAGAATAATTTCATCATCAGTTTAAACTGATCCAACTGTGGTCTGGCCTGAAAGGCACAACTTCCCTCCCAATCCACATAGACTGTAGCTGTTTCTCCCTTGTGTTGGCACTAGCATATGTTGTGAAATCAGCCAGAAAAAAGAAAGGTTTCAGCCAGACAAACAAGCCACATGATTTTGTGTACTAGTACAAAGGGGGGCCTAGGAGTGGGAAAGCACACGGGCAAGAGAAAGAGCAGGACTGTCTCTTTCTGCTGGTTGCAGCCAGTTGTCCGGACTGGTTAAGACAATCATGAAATCATCTAAGTGTATTTAAAAAAAAAAAAATGTTGGAGCTTTTTTGCGTTAAGACAAAAGCATAACCCAGCTGCTGAAAATACACCCTAAGCCTTTTACCTATTTTTTCTCAGCCTACAAAAATGTCTGTTTTTTTTCCCAGTCGTTCATGACTTCATGCCACAACAAAGATTTTAAAGTTGTGGTGAAGGGGGTTATTTAAAAGCTATTTCTATACATTTAACAATTTTTCGTAAATGTACTGCCTTCCATGCACACATTTTCACAAAATCTGTAGACAGCTCTAAAGCAATCCAGCCCTCTGGGTGTCACAGAGCCAGCAGAAGCAGATTCTGTTGGTTTTCCAGTAGAGATACTGGAAATTGCTGTCCATGCTTGCTACGATTTGAACATTCCAAGTGGTATACAGCTCACCTCCCCGTACAGGCATTTTTCAGTCTTTGGAATACTGTGGATTTATGTTCTGACAAAGAGACTGATTCAACAGTGGTAAATGAACTCTTTAGTATAGTACATATTGTAGACCCTGAAAGGGTCATGTTTCAGAAATGTGAAAATAAAGAGAAATGAAATCACGTTTGTAAACATGTGAGCTATATCCTCACTATCAGTGACTGGGCATGAAACCAAGTAGACAGAATATTATTGAGCCTCACATCTCAGGAGAGTTGGTTTCTCGTTGGTAGCCATTAGTCAAAAACGCTTTTAAAAATTATTATTCTTTTTGATAAATACGTGAAGGACTGTAGGCTGTTTTGAGTTCTACAATATCTATTATAGATCTTTATAACATCATAGTTCTATTTCCAAATACGGCTTCCAAGAATCTATATCCCTTTTCCCCTGCTTTTCTAAGGAAAATTATTGAGAACAACAATTTTCTGTCTCATAATTTTGTTCCTATTCACACACAATTATTAAGCAGCGTAGCATAAAGAACTCCAAACTAATTTTAAGAACACAGTTCCTTGGTAGTCCAAGGAGTCTCCAAACAAAAGGATGGACCTTTGAACAGACAATCAAGTCTATTTCTTGGTAGTCAGGCACATTAAACATAATCTAAGTTATGAAAAATAATATTGAAAGGTGCATTATCATAATATCATGCTAAGCATTAAAATGTTTTGTAATTGTTTCAGAGGCAATTTGAAGTAACACGGTTAAGTCCTTCTGTGAGTCAAGCCGGTCAGGATTTTTTTTCTTCTTTTTTTTAAAAACAAGAGAGTTTTTTCCACTGAGAAATGTTCTATATTTAACAAAGCGCTTACTAGCTGCAGAAATTCAAGGAGAGACACCTGGGATGTGGAAAGTCAGGCTAAAGTCCCTCTTCCACCTAATTCTCTCAGCCTCTTACCTCCTATTGGAGCTGCTCCACTTTGTATAAATAACCAAATACTCACAGGAGTTGAATCTTGGATCAGGGTCTCCAGAACCCAATATGGGCATTCTACCCCTTCAGCTAGAGTATGATTCTATTTTTGACCCTAGAAGTTACAGAATGGATTTTTACAGCAATTTCTACAAGGCAAAACAATTGCAACAGGGGAAAAGGACAAAGTTCTATGCTGGTAGCTAACGGTCTAGTGGTTTGGGGAGTTTTTTCGGATGTGGGAGATGCAGATTCAATTCCCTGGTCTAAATCAGGCAGAATAAAGATTTGAGCCTGCATATCCTGTCCCCTAGGTGACTGCCCTAACTACCGGATTATATGCTATTTTTGGAGGTCTTGCTCATCATCTTTTCCTCACTCTGTTATACTTAGAGTAATCCTGAATGTGCTCCAGGTGAAAAGGTTTTGTTTGAATTGTATTACAGTAATAATTTTCACTTCACTTCCTGAACCATTTCATTGTTTGAGATGAAACTTGAAAAGATTCTGTATTGTATTAATATTAGGTTGCCATCTCCACATACATGCTTACATTGCTTCTAAAGGTTCGAAATGCAGATGCATAAAGGTTGCTTTTAAGCCTATACTTAGGAACTAAACAGTTGATCTGATTTTTCAGAAGCACAGTGCCAGTACTGAGCTGCTCTCTATTGCCTTCATACAGACATAGCTGCCTAACTGGGTTTTTTTTTGCTATCAAATTTTTTTAAAAGAAAAATCTTGGCCTATGCCTATATTTGCATTATTTTGCATTTTATTATAAACACTTCTGTACACTTGCAATGATCTTAACAGCACCTGCTTATGCATTCAAGGAATAGTAATTTAGCAATTAAAGCTAATAAACAGAACTTTCTTAATTAAGCTGTGTAGATCTGTGTTATCATACAATTTAAGCAAACCTGTGTTTATTTCAGTGTATAAAATCAGAATGCTTTTGGTAACTTGGGGCAATTTAGTAAAGCCTTAGAAATAATGAGATAATTCTTTTACATTGCCCAAATTCCATGTGCAGCAAACAAATCTGAATTTGTTTACTATAATTTCAAAAGCACTGTAACTGAACAGTTATCTAGAGTAGGTAAGGTTTTCATGTGGATGCATTTACTTCCTCAGTATAGCCATAGGGTTGGTTTGTTTGTTTTTTAAATCAGGAGAATTGATTTACCACATTTAATTTTACTTCCTGAAACAGTCAATTTTTCAATAGTCTTGCTGATTTTTTTTTTTTTTTAGTTTTTTTTACTGTGTTCAAACTCCTAAAATGTGTCTATGGTCTACAATATGAATCTGAAGGAACTTTATGAACCATACTACTGTTTAAGTACATAAATAAAATCTACATTGTTTCCCATAAAGTAATCTTTTCTGTACAAATGCAGAAAAGCCTAAACTGAATGGATTCTATTACAATACAATATAGGATTTCATATTGACTTTAAGAAGCATTATCACCTCCTTGACTAACCCTTAGCTGCCAGCAGACGCTGCCTCAGGCCAGTACACACCTAATTGCTCGGTAAAAAGGCCGTTTCCCTACCTCATTGAGCTGGATGATGTGATAAATTTGCCTCAGGTACTCGCTGCCACCTGGTTTGTGGCAGATATCCAGGACCATCATGTTTATTTTCTGCTCAGTGAATCCAAGTGCAATACCTCCTTCCTCTAACGTTGCACTTTCTACTGTGACTGAGGCACTAGAATATAGAAAAGATACAACTATTCTTAAGTTAAATTTCTTAAAATCAAAATATTAACACAAAGTCAGCTAAAACTACATGTTACAAAAACTTATAAGATTTGGCTTGCACAAAACAAATGTTGCTGTATGTACATCTCTGAAGCCTTTATAAGCATACATAATAAATGCTAAAAACATTTTTATTATGCAAATTTTAATAATTTTAATCTAAAAGATGAAAACATAAAACATTCTTTACTCTAAGGACATACAAGGAGCAAATATTTTTTTATTTTCTTTTCCACTAGAGAAGTATCTTTGCTACTAGAAATGGCATTTGCATTCTATCTTTTGTACATTTCTCTTTGCCTGTCGCTGCACATATTAAAGTCTAATTAACATGTCAGAAAGGTAGCCATTACTCTAAGTATAGGTTAGAAGTTTTAAATCGAAGCCTTTTTCTTCCCACTGGTATGGTGGTAACCATTTCAAAGGTACCTATTTGCCACTTGTTGCACTTTTTGCCTTGTACTGTTCCTTGTTTTTCTTCTTAAAAGTATTTGTGTGAAACTGCTACAAAAAAATCTGAAGGAGACGGGCCCAAATGACTTGAAAAATATGCATTCAAAACTCTGACCATTGTTAGACTGCTCTCTCTGTATGCAAACATAAGTTACCAGCTCTGTACTTGCTTAGCATTGTACATTGATCAAGTATTAAGAAAAAAAAGTACTAAAACTAATTCTTTTCCTCAAATATTAGAGCTGCAACACAGATGTATGTTGACATCTTGACACAGATGCGTCAAGAACTTGCAAGGACAGACAAGAATATATTATCCCTTCTACAGTCATTAGTGGATTAATTTAAAATCTACCAAAGAAGCATTCTGAATTAAAAAAACCCAATATTTTAATTTTTTAGAAGTAAAACCAAAAAACCCAAAAACACTTTGGTACAGTCAACTGTAAGTTGCAGTTTACTGTTAAAAGTGTGCCATGATTACAAAGTTAGTTCTGCTGAAAGTTGCTGTTTGACCTGCAGGCTCACTTCAATGATACACAGCTGCTGGACATTAAAGCTGGTATTGCTTCCACATGCAGCTTCAGAACGTCCTACAGAGGAAACAGTTTCAAAATATAAACTATAATTTTGTTCTTTGCTGAATGGAAGTAAGTTATACTCTTTTATTATGGTGTTTTTTACAGAAAAGCTTCAAAGAAATTGATCGTTAAAATTAAAGCACACTTAAGGCTGATCTTTCGATGCCACATATAGATACAACCTGAATTTCTTGTCAAACTTCTTAGTGACTGACATTGAAAAAGTTGAGGACCTCTGACAAAGGAGTGTATCAGTGTCAGTGCCCAAACTGTATCCTTTCCTGTCCGTCACTGTGCAGGTGAAGCAGATGATTGGATTCAGTCAGTGCTGTGATTAATGAGTTCCTCTCTGGATTTGGGACTGCCTATCAATCATGTCATTAGGAAGAATGTGCCCTGAAAGAGGCAGACCTCAGCCAAGGAATAACTGCATTCATCTTAATCTGTATATGCACCCAGCCAGCCAAGTCAGGGTCACCATGATGAAAAACAATAATCTTCAACTCGACAAATTACTTTGCAAAGACAGACATTTCTTTTCTTCTCTGGACGCATGTTCTTCAGAATCTAACGTGACTGTTTACAGCTCTGGTGCTACCATAAAGTGAAGGTTACTTTAATGAATAGTAATGCTTTCAGGCAGTACACAAGACAGGCAATGCATACAACTGCCACTTTCTGAACCTTTCATTGAAGATTTTTTCTTTTTAATTCTCCTAAAAACTAAGTTAAATTTGTATGCCACAATGGAAGAACCTATATAATATTTAGATCTTTTACGTAGCTAGCAGTCCTGATTACAATAACATAACACCAAATCAGGCAAGACTTTTGCTTATAAAAATCCAGTGTACTTCAAAGATGTTTCCACAACTGTGTAGGTGAATCCCAAATAAATTTTTGAAATTTATGGTTTTTATTTTCTTCCACACACTGTATCTATTAAAAGTCTTATAAACATTTTTAAATATGAATATATATAAAAATGCATGTGCATACAGCTACCCACAAAGTCCTTTAATTATGAAAATGTTATACAGAACATTATTTTACACCAACTTAGATTTTCAAGTATAAATCACTCTTATTTCAAACAAATCACGTAAACATTACAAGTCTCCTCTTGAAAGATCTGATTTTAGTTTAGTGCTTATGTGACTGTTACTTAGTTTAATTGATATTTGAATTTCAGCTGCAATATTAGTTTTATAATTTGCATTTATAATAATATTTTATCTCTACATTGCATATCTCAGCTCTTTATTAACTAGATTATTTTTTTCCCAGAAATTGACTCATGATATTTGAATATAAAATGGAGAAACAATATTAAAAGTCTTATAAACATTTTTAAATATGAATATATATAAAAATGCATGTGCATACAGCTACCCACAAAGTCCTTTAATTATGAAAATGTTATACAGAACATTATTTTACACCAACTTAGATTTTCAAGTATAATCACTCTTATTTCAAACAAATCACGTAAACATTACAAGTCTCCTCTTGAAAGATCTGATTTTAGTTTAGTGCTTATGTGACTGTTACTTAGTTTAATTGATATTTGAATTTCAGCTGCAATATTAGTTTTATAATTTGCATTTATAATAATATTTTATCTCTACATTGCATATCTCAGCTCTTTATTAACTAGATTATTTTTTTCCCAGAAATTGACTCATGATATTTGAATATAAAATGGAGAAACAACATTTATGCTAGAATTCTATTGCAGAAATCCCACTGAAGTCAGGGGACTTAGTTTCATAACTGCATCATATAACTACTCACTTGGAGAGCAGGTAATGCATTCTTCAGTTTCTTAAACTTAAAATTAGGAGCCCTAGTCACAAACTAGTTCTCACTTTGGTTGACACTGTACACATACAGAAAAGATTTTCCCAGATTCATTTCCCACAGTCTGATACCTGATGGATAATACAGCATTTTTGAGGTATGTTAGAAAAGAAAATAAAGTGGTATATTAATTTAAAATTCTCAGCTTCAGAAGAAGTACAAATACCAAAGTTTTACTTTTTTGAGGTTATCCACAAAATTGTCTTACCCTGCATTTGTATTTTTTAAGAAATACCTATTCTCTCAGTGACATTAGAAATTGTATTATGGAACCATTCTGTTAAGTATCAATTTACACATTATCATTATGGGTTTTTTATTCTATGACTCTTTCAGTCACTGGCATATGGCTTCAATCTTTTAATCACTGGATTAGAGCTTGTAAATTAGTATTAAATGGAAATGTAAAGATTACAAAGGTCAATGTCAACGAGCATTCATGTGACACTATTACTGCTTAGTGCTACTCATGTTGACTGACTACTCGTAGAAACAGGATACTGTCCCTTAAAGCAATGCATGAAAGTCTGTCACCAATAGTGATTCCGACCTACAATCACTATATCCTTTGTTTATATGGACAATTAATGACAGGTTAGCAACGTCTGCAACCTTCAAGAATATTCATTAAAAAAAAAAAGCAATCTTACTTTCAGTAGTCAGCAATTTAATTCAGTAAGTCATGTAACTCCAATAAATGTAATATTGGAAAGCTGATAAATAGTATTTTTACAGAATGGTACATGACTTCAACATTAAAACAGACTGGACTATGAACACATGGACATGTACACAAATCCCTCAAAAATCATTATAAGGATTTAAAACACTCAGACCTTAATGTCAAATCTGCAGGGAAGGTTGATACTTCCTCAGAAAGGCACAGCAGGGTACTCTCCTTGTCCTGTTTTGATATATCCTACTTGCCCTCAGGGTTTATTATGTTTTAAAATGAAGTATGCTTACTTTTTAATCACAGATGAACACTGAAAGCTTTTCATAGTCGTTCTTAATTTAATCACCATAGCAAAATTAACTTACAAATATATTGTGGTGCCTTCTAGTCAGTGTACCTGTTCACATTCTGAAAGATACACCAACTAAATTGTCCACATTTTTGGAACATCATGAAAATATTAAATCTCTGAGTACTATGAAGACACTGTTCTGATGAAACAATCATGGTTTAATGTTTCAACAATGCAATTAAGTTGCAAAAACATGCTATAAAGCCATCAATGTTAGGAACTAATCCATTTCATGTAAGATCACTGATCATCTATTTTTTTTTAAATTGAACAATAGCTATAAACATGCCAATAATCCAGTAAAAAAAAAGAACAAACAACAGCATTTGAAAAATACTATGTTCTTACCAGTCTGTACTCAATTTTCTTGCTTTCAGCAATTGGCTTTCAATCCAGTTTGGTCTTTGCTGTTCAACGCTTTGTATAACCTTCTGGGTCACTTGTTTAGGACCACTTTTCTGTTTTCCCATAATACTTTCTAAGCACACACGAACTAAACTGAGTTTTTCTTTGCTCCATCTGTCAAGTGTTGCACCTGTTAAAAGTTCTGCAGTATTTCCATCCTCAAATATCCGACATATAATTACAATCAAGTTCCAGACAAGCAGACCAGCTTTCTTCAATTCAGCAAAGTTTCGTGACATTTTTCTCTCAGCCAGAAAAAAGAAGTACTTAATTGAGGGAGGCAAACATGCAATCACTGTAGGTAACTTGCTGATTACAATAGATACTGCCTGAGCTGCAAGCCTTGTGAAGCCTTAAAAAAAGAAAGAAAAGAAGATATGATTAACATTAACATTCTAGTTCTATCACAGCATGCTTCTGAATGTTGTATGATAATTTCTAACTTTCTCTTGTACTGAGAATGGGTAAAAAGCTTAAGTACTCAACACTGTAGCTTGACTTCTATTGTGCTTCCTCCACATAAATCCCACAAAATCTAAACAATAACATGAATTGAAAACAGAGAACCTAGAAAATTTAGAATTCAGACTGTGACTCTCTTAACAATTAGTCCTGCTGTGCACATTTATTACAGAATAAATGAAAAAGACAACACCCAGGTATTCTGAACGGTAAAAAAATTGTCTTCAAAATTGTAGTGTAATAGTTTTCCAGCTTCATGAGTGGGGCATTGCACTGTCTCAGGATATTATGTACATTCATAATCTTCAGTTTTCTATCAATCCTTTTCTACATTCAAACCTACAAAACTTCAGTTTATCAACTTGCATATAAGCATGCACACTATATAGCACTGCATTTTAAATATTCCAGATATTAAAAGTAGCTATAGAAGTAGCTATAGAAAACGTGTTGCTCAAAACCCAAGACATATCTAATATGAAAAAATATACCAGAAGATGATCCCCAAAACAGAGTCAAGATTTAAAAAAACATCAAAATAGAACCCACACAAACCAAGAAAACCCCTGACTCATTGCACCTGTATTCTCAGCTTGTTTAAAAAAAGAAAAAGAGCCAGATCTGTTCTAGGTGTCACATAACCAATTTAATTTGTCACTAGGTCTGAGCCTTACCTCTCAGCTTGCATATCAGTTCAGGCTTAGTGATAGCCTAAAATAGCCAAGTTCTAGATTAAAGCGAGATTGCAGTGAGAGTGCAGTGAGCGTGCTACTGCATAAATGTGCCTCAAGATGCTGAAGATAAGATATATGGAAAGAAAGAATAGATTGATGCCCTGGCTTGCCCACAACCTACATATTCCAAACTTCATGCCAGAATATACTACAGTGATTCTATTGTATTGAAAATAATCAGGTAATATTTTGGTGGCAATAAATTTATGGTGAAATGTTTCCAAAAGTTAGCCTTTTGAAATGATGGAGGTTTTAGGCACAGTAGGCTATGAAAGTATATACCAGAAATCATCTTTACATCCAATCACCTTCAAAACATCTCCTATTACATATATTATTTCTCTTTCTTCACTAACTCTTTCAACAACCACACAGTAGCAAATTCCATACCAGTTTCAGTGCTATTCAAACACAAATTGCTGTTGTAAAGTTGGGATGAATAACTTGTTATCATTTCAGAAAACACTGTGTATTTAAATTTAAACAGTCATGACTGAACAGATGATAACTAAAAGAAGAACTGGTTACAGCCATTAAGACAAAAGTATAGACATTATGCTTTATTCTGCCTTGAATCCCACCTTACTACTGCCAGATGCTAAAAACATTTTCAGTACTATTATTATCAGTACTACAATACTGATTATTTTAGAAAGCTTTTTTGTGTATGCATGGGTGTAAGCCTCAAGAAAGAGGTACTGCATTTTAACGCTAAGTACTTTAAAAAAAACAGAGGATGCTTGGACATTGTTCTGTTCATTGTCAAACTGCAATGCTCATGAATTAATTTTAAATTTAATCATGTTAAATTTTGATATGTACTCATTAAAAGGGTAACAAGCGTTTATGACAAATTTATAAAACAGTGTAAATTTCACCCACATTTTCCAGATTCTTTTCTCTTCATTTCCCGAGGCGTGTAATTCCATTCCTTTGGAACCGTTTTCAGTAAACTTTCAGGAACTATTTGCTTGTGCTGGTACGTTCCATAGTTTTCTGTTGCCTCCCATGAATGCATCAAAGAAATTATCTGCTTCACTATACCCTTGACTGAATTAATCAAAGTCAACTTCAAGCATCTGATAACCTCTGGCTCCGACTCACCACAACTGGAAACTTCAGAAGGAAGAATTATTAAATATTCAGTAAGTGTAGTCATTTGTGTAAATCTGTTTCAGAAAGAAGTGTTTCAGAATTCTTATGGAAAGAAAAATAAAAACATTATGATTCATAATAACTTAGACCTATTGCTATGTTACAAATTAAACAATGTAGCATCTTGTACCATCTTAATAAAATACTGACAAAAAATACAATTTAATTTATTTCCTTCATCCTCATTTCTCCATCAATATATTTCGAAAAATTTAATTTAAGGTGACCAATGTCTCCCTTTTTATATGGAGTACATTTAATTACTTATTAGACATCAATGAGGCAAATGGATTTACCTATTTTTTTTTTCTACTTCCTTGTCTTGATAGTCTTATTGAAGTTGCGTTTATTAGATACCCAAACTGTTATACTAGAGAACAGCAAAGGAAAAAAGGATATTTTGGAAACAAATATGCATACAAATAATAGCCATCAACAGAGACATAGCATGTTATCAGAGATTGCATGTTGAAAATAGACCATCCTAAATACAGCTATTGACATTACAACAAGTATCAATCTTCTTCACATTCTTAATACCACAGAGAATTGCAGTTTCTCCATTGCCATGGAGCAGCAGTTGTCAGGCAGAGTGCTGCAGGATGTATCAGAGATGTCTTTTGACATGTTAGGTCCTTTGCTCATACTTTTGCTTGTCCGTACTTTTTGCTGATCTAAGTTTTATTCTTCTCTGCATGGCCTTTCTGAAAGCTTCTATGCAATATCTCTGTATTTCCTTCCTCTTACACCTTAGACTTCTACTTTTTGCAATCCCATTTTTCTCTGAGGAATACCTGAGCATTTTTACCACCATTGTTTTCTATTTCGTGATAGTCGTAATTCTATTTCCCCTCTTACATTCTCCCATTTTCTTCCTTTCTTTTGTTTTGAGCTTTCCTGCATTTTAGCCATCATTTGCAAGATCACCGTTCTAAACCTCACCTCTCTTTTCTAGTTGAATGCTGCTTTTCTTTGGGGGCAGCGTTAGTTGCTCTAATTGTGGGGGCGGCTCTCCCCCACCATGGAAAATTAGGAGCCTGTCTGCCTGTTGACAGCAGAGTCTATATGCCCATCAGACTACACCTCCCTCAATAGGAGTCCTTCCTTTTCTTTTTCCATTCTCCTTTAATTTTTTCTTACTTTTAAATCGTGGCAAAGGTCTGGAGCTATTAAATGTACAGAGACAAAGAACCTCTATTGGTAGAAAGCTACAGAAACTATCTGCTGCCAGCCTGCTGGTAAGACAGACACTTAAAGAAATCAGAATCCTGGTTGACCACAGCGGTCCGTAACCTCTGCTTTCTTCAAAATTTTCACCATTCCTATGGTGACCTGATTGCTCAAAACACTTCAGTTAAACTATAATTTTGAAGTAAGCTACCATCATTTAATCTGATTTATTAAAGTAAAAACAATATGCACTACATGTCTGAAAACTGACAAGGTTTAACATCAGATTTTAAATACTTATTACTCAATTAAATACCTGTCATGTTGTATAAGCAATTCCACAACTGCTCTTTTTCCATGTAAGTCTCAAAAGCAATGCCAAGAGATTTGGGTGATAAAGTGCAGTAAGACAATATTGTGAAGATTGTTTCAATCAGAGTAGGCTGTTTGTTATTTATTTGTTCTAAGAGAGAACATTGTTCATCATGATTCAATACTGCATTTCCTTCAAAATAAACAAAAACATGGTTACAATAATTTCCAAGTAATTCAAGTTCACAGTAACAGATAGTATTAATCAAAACAATCTGCAAACTGTATCTGAATAATATTTCAAACAATAATAATACTTATAGATACTGAAATCTGATCTTCCTCTGCATAATGACATTTGACTGGCTTCCTGAATTATATGTAGCCGTTAAAAAAAGACTCAAGCATGTTTACAAACTATGGAACATGCCTATTTAATTCAAAATGCACTCAGTATATAATTGGAATTTGATTATTTACTAAATATTTATCAGAAGTAAGTTCTACTACTTCTGTAGAATCACAGTCAAAAAGTTATTACTGCTTAGTTCCTCTTACCAATATATTAGTTATGTGAAATAATAGAACTCTACTTAGTTATATAAAACAAAATAAAGTAGCAGCTGCATACTCCCCAAAATGGGTTGGCTTCGTTTTTCAGTACAAGATGAAACTGAGAAATCAGTTCCACAAAACAAAATCTAAGCCCTGCTAAAATACAGATACTGCTGTTTTTAAAGACAACTAGTGATTTTCATAGAGTTGAGTGGTAACAGCTTACGTAACATGTATTTCTCAATGTTTTTCATAATCATTATAAAACATTCTCCCAGCCAAAAGATAATGATGTGCTTAAACCTCTTTGAACCAATGCAACTCAGTGGCTTTGACTTGTGCTAATGTCAAAGACCTCAGCTTCCCACATACTTGTGGAATATGGTTTTGATGTTAACAGTCGTAACAAATTACCAGAGCCAGAACCAATTAAGCACTTTTAATTTAAATTTCTAGTTCGCAAAACTGAAAGTTTCTGTAAAACTGATTTAGATAAAATTATACTTGAAAATATCATTGTTTTATGCCAGTTTGGCTGCCCTTATCTTTAGCAACCTGTGCAGGAGAAAAATGGGAGAGACCAAATTTCTAGGCTGCATTTTTCTAGTGGTTCAAACAGCCTTCAAAATCTACCACAGTGGAAAATTGCTGCTTTCCACCCAGCTCTGAATGACTTGAGAATGTTGTAAAATTCAAAAATGTCATTTGACTCTCCTCTGAATTCCTACAATCTGATTCACAAATTATTGTAAACCATTCAGTCTGGGTAGTGTGCAACCTTAGTAGAAACAGCCCATAGGATGTAGAAAGCTGAAAAACAAGACCAGTGATTTCATAACCAACAAGCTGTGTTTTTTCTTCCCAAGGCAGGAGACAGATCAGCAATAAGAATTTTTTTTAGTCAGCTTTTTTTCCTATGAGTTGAGTGAGCTGGCATATTTTGCTGAGACACTTTGCAATGCCAGATGCTTCTGAGTGAAGAATCAAATGGATTCCACTAATTCACTCAAACCAGCAATATGCTGTCTAATATGGGTATGACAAAGAAAGAACCAAGAAAGCAGAAAAAGCAGTTCAAAAAGGAAAAACTAGAGGTATTCAAATTGTGAGATGAAAATTTGAATTGAACTTTGATTATATTACTGTAAGTATTTCTTTAAAATTAATTTAACCAAATTCTAGGGAGAAGGGTTTGCTGAGATTTTAAATACTACGTAAACCATCTTTGCAGAACATGATATGAAACTGCTTTATTTAAAGGGGCTTATGACTTGAAATCGAGTCTAAATTTGCTTTATGATCATGCCACATGGAAAGTTTGAGTCACAACTTATTAATAACTTTTCTGATTATCTTAGTGCTACCAATGAATCTAGATAAATGGAAAGAAGTATAAAAGAATTCTGTAGGGGGTTATACATATATCTTCTTATAACTAGTGTATAATATAAGTCTTAAGCAAAGATCTTCAGGAATCCACTGGGAAACCATTTTGAGGCTAAACATAACAAGACATGTAAGCTTTCATCAGCTCTTTCTTGTTTTACCCTCAAGTATATGTTGCCCTTGTTATAAGAATATCTGACCCTTCAAAGCTCAGGTTGAAATGAGTTTTCTGACTGATAAACTGGCATGGATCATAGAATCATAGAATAATTTGGGTTGGAAGGGACCTTAAAGGATAATGTCAGTTGGTTGAAAGGTTTAGCTAGTTGATCAGTATAGCTGGTTAAATATTATGAATTAGAAGTCTACAGAAAGATATGTAGATTTCTCTTGCCTTAGAATTTTTCTTCAACATTTATTAGCTCACCTGTCATAACATTAAATATTCATCTTAGTTTGAACTCCAATGCAGTCTTCTTGTTAATCATCACATAAGAACAGTATTTATATGATAGGCACCATACTTATTGCCCTCTATCTATGTATTTCTCTTTTTTCCACTCACTGCATTGGTATATCAAAAGCTAATCTGTGAAGGGAATCTAAAGCTCCTATAGGTAGCTCAAAGGAGATGCTTCTTTTTCATTTTAGCAGGACTCACATCTGTACATAAAAATGGCTATACACTTATCTTAGGTACCTGTTAAAGAAAACCTGCTATTTGTTATTTCCATATAGCATAATGTTCCATATGCACAGAGGATGCCAAAATATATAAAAATATTAATATTATTAATAAATATCTTTATTAAAATATGTATCTAGTGACTAACAGCTATGCCCTAATCAGTCACAATGAATCATTCTTCCTATGACAAAATAATGTACTTAACCTCCTGGGATAGCACCATATATTTTAAAAACATATCTTCAGAGAGGCAGACTTACAAGTGTAATTTATCCATATTTCTTTCTTACTGAGAGAAAATACCTCCCAATGACTTGCTGACATTATCACACTCATCCAACTCTTATCTGGTACTGGTTTAGCCATGAAATGAATCTTACTGAATTTAGAAAATCTTCTGTTATTGACTCTAGACTTCTCCTTCCCTAGTGAATCCTTACAAGACAGACAAGCTATAAACAGTTATGCTGTCTTCTTTGACCAAAAGAGGTAGTCAAAATTCAAATTTATACATGCTGTTTCATTTAGGAAGAGAAACTGAAGATGGAGCAACTTACTTCTGATACACTTCTTTTATTTGCAAAAGCATAAAACTTCTTTCTTTATAGTTTAAATCACAGCAGCTGATGAGGATATAAAGAATGCAAAAAGGATATATATTATTTGTTTATAGAACCAAATCCTTCAGCAGGCACTCTGCACTACTTGCTTCTTTGCACTATATTCTCAGTGCTTCTTCTGTCGCTGGCATTTTTTCTATTCTTTTTCTGTATCCGTTCTGGTAGATCATTTTACTTGTCTCTCATAGAGTTGCTCCTCTCCAATGCAATCATTCTCCAGTCAGTCTTGACAGCTAGAATCTATTGTGACTTGGAATATGACTGCATTTTGGCAGAAAGTCTATTATTTTAGTTTTTAATTACAAAAAGAAATTTTAGATCGTATTACTTCTATCCTGAATGAAATGCAGATCTTAATCCTACCTATTTCAATTTAGTAAAACCCAAATAATAATATCCCCATTATCAGCTGCTACCTATGAATCCAATGGATCCTAAATTTGTGACAACTAAAAAGCTCAATAAAAGACAAAAAGTTAACAAACTTTGTATCATCTGCCCATAAATTATTAACATATCAGCAAACTACTTCTGTGCCTACACATTTATACGTCACCAATCCCATAGTATTTTACTCTCATTCCACTCCCTTTAGAATTTTTTCTCCCTAAACATTTTATTTTCAACTATCTGAGAAGAAGCTTCCATTAATGAATCTCTGGGTTAATGGCTTCTGCGAAATCTATCTTACCTGTGTCAAATAGAAAAAAATCATTACTATCAGAATACCTCCAGCACTGATTTTATGGGATAGTATGCTGAAATTGTGGCACTCTGATAGCCAAAATTTGATGACCCAATATTGAATTTAGTCCCCTGGTAACATTACCTCCTTTGTCCATGTATTGGGATCGATACCGAACAGGTTACCCTCTTAAAACGTATTCAGTCTAGAGCTCTACTGTAGCAAGAAGTTCCTACCAGAAATGACTAGGTCTTTGAAAAGCTTATGACCATATATCACAGTCACAGAGACTACCACAGATGTATCACAGAGACTATCTTCACACTTTGTCAAGACAAGGTATGTGATTTTCAGAAGGGCTCTATTACAGTCCAAATGGAAATTCCTATTCAATATTTCAGGAACTCCATGAAATCTGTTTACTGTTTTCTTTAGCTTATCACTGAAAAGTCATCAAAAGGAATAGGATATCTGATTAAGGTCCCTTTTCTATTGATCTTCCAGCTAGAAGTACATCATGTCACTAAACCCTTCTACCATTTTACCGTATCCAGTAAGTTTACTGGTCAGATAGATATTTTGAGGAGATGCCACTTTTAAAATAATTTTCTAATCTTTTGTTGTTAGGCTACCATGACATAGTTTGGTATCATGAAGAAGCTAAGAAAACTTTCAGGTGTTCTGGAATCTGTACTCACAAGCCTCATCCTGGATGATCCACAAATATCTGTAGGAGAGAGCTATCTCTGCACAAGCATATACATTCCTCTAAGAGACTCACTTGTGCTCTCCTAATGAAGACAGTGTTGCAGATTAACCCCCAAGTTTTGTCAAAAAACCTGCAAGACTATAGTTGCCCAAAATTGTGTGTGGTTGAACCATGGGACTAGCACAGTTGCTAGTTCTTCCAGTTGCTTGGTAGACTGTGTCTCAGGATTATTAAATCCAAGGAGTTATTACAAGGAAGTACAAAAATAATGGCCTTCAAGTAGTTGAAATAAATGTTTTAAATTGTTATACAGATTTAGCCAATGCCAGGATTTTAATGGAGATGGTAATTTATTTAAGGAATGTACATTTTCTTTTGCAATAACTCACTACTGTCACTAAAAGTTCAGTCTGATTCCTTAGTGAGGTCAGTTGGTAAAGTTACCACCTTTCACTGTTCTTTTAGGGTAACTTAGAAAAAATCAGTGCTATTTACCTTTAAATGCCTAAAATCTAATTAATTTAAGTTTAATTAAAATTTAATTAGTGCTTAAATTTTACCTTAAAATGCCACATTATACATTGTGGCAGTTAAAGAGCTGCTTCACAAGGAGCAAAGAATTGGAGTGGGGAAAAAAAAAATCTTTCCATTCTACAAATATATTTTCAAGTCATTTCGCTTGCTAGAAATGGGTTTATAAAAGCACAGCCTTAGAAAACTCTTCATATCTATTAGTGTCTAGGGAGTTGGCTGATACTGCACCACAGAGTTTTATTTTCTCAGTGGAAATCCTCTCTTCCCCACCATGCTTATGTGTCCAAGGTAAATTCTCTCTTTTTGAAGCAAATCACATTTCTTTGGGTCCAATTTCAGATTTGCAGCCTTAAACTTATCACAGAATATTTGCAAATGTTACTATCAGTTCTTATGTCAAAGTTTTAGTGGGGACCAGGATATCATCTACGTTTAACTGTACAGGCTACACAATACCCTTTTCCATTAGTCTCTCAAATATGCATAGTGCAAGCCAAAAACACTAGGTGAAACTGCCAATGGCCTTGTCCTGCTGTGAAAGCAGTTTTCTTCCAGTTTATCTCCACATGCTAGTATTCACTTTAAAGTTATGTGTAGAAAATGAAATTAAATCTCTGTAACAACTGGAGTCTCATGTATTCATTGTAATGAATAAGTTTTTTTAAAAAAGGAATACATTGCTTTTTCTATTGTACATCATTAACTTGGTGCTACTATCTCTTCTTCTTAAACAAAAGTATGTATGAGGCCCAAGGACTTATTGAAGGTCTCGAATGTGCCTTGTTGACGATTTCTCAGTGATCTCTTTCTTATCTGCTATTGGTAAATGGTGAGGTGTCTGTTGACTGGTATATTGGTATTAATCTCGTGTTGGGCCAGTAATTCAATAAAGCTATTGCTTTTTGCTTTATTACACAAAGACTAACTCCTGGTTCCTGGAAATAAAGACTCTCAAATGAGAAGTCACAGCCTCTTCTGCTGGCATGCTGTGCATTTATAGCAAGTCTAGCAGAAATTCTCAGAGTTCACTTTCACCCTTCCTGTTTTCGTATCAGCATCTGCTGGATTCAATAACCCATATTATGCAAGAACCACTTTCTTTATTCCTCTATTATTTGTTGCTTGTCAAAATAATACATTTCTGTTTCATATCCATGGGTGATAAAGCAATTCTGGTAAAAAATTCTGGCAAGAAAATTGCAAAACAGTTTTGTCAGAAAATTAACACAGTACCAGCTACCTTCATTATTTCTCTCCGCAAAGGCACAGCGAAGGCCCTAGACACTTCACTCACTCAAGAACTTGTCTTAGAAGAAATTTTCTGAATGTTGGATCTATAGAAAACAACTCTGGGATTATATTACACTGTAATTAACTGTAATTCAATACATCTGGGTTATTTAGACTTGTAGTTTAAGTTATAGAGGTCCAATATGCAAATCCAATTTTTCAACTATTTTTTCAAAGGTGTATTTTACCCAGTGGCCATACTCACTGGAGAGTTTTGGGTATCCTGATTTATTGCCTTTAGTATTTTTGACGTGATAACTTCATATTTGAGGGGCGTTTTACTTTCATATATCATATTGCACAAAAGATGACAAAAGTCCACATCTTGTCACCTTCCTGTCCAGATAGCTTATAGTTACATACATGGAGTTTCAATAGCTTCAACAAATACGATAACCTTCTTATAATATTTAGCAACACTAAATCATGCATACATGCATTCCCCCAAAATACTCTTTCTACTGAGACAATTTTGCCAGTCCCAACAGTACTCCCTACTATGACGGGGAATATACATTATTTCTGACCCTCACCATGGTACAACCATATGAGAACAATGGGAGTGCAATTAAATTTAATGTGCTTGTGTGACACCTACTGTAAGTATCCCAAAGTATTGCTACAATACAAAAAAATGTTAATATTACCTAAAAACATCTACCTATAAGCACCTCTTTTTACAGAATTTTTGCCTTCTGGCCTGGTTTTTAAAGGGAAAAGGAAAGACAGTGTAAAATAAAGTAAAATGTGAGAAGGTTTTTCCTATTCAAAAAATTCTTACCATCTAGTTAAATACCAGGGAGTTTTGTTATCACTAGGGCAAATCACTCAAAAATTATGGTATACTTAGCTTCTTATCTGTTTTCATGCATAATATTACACATTCCAAAATCTTCCTGTTGATGAGGACATAATTCTGTAAGCCTTTTATCCTACTGAACAGAAGAATCCAAAACTGTCATTGCTAGTACTAAGTAGTACTAGTATAGCTTATTAGTCCAAATTTCCTTGTACTAATACATAACAGCTCACATAATAAAAAAGTTTTAGCTTATATAGCATCAGAAAGCTGATATATAGGAGAAGGAATAAAGAATACAATCATTTTATCATTCGATAATTAACCCTATTGAAATTAATTTAGAAGATATTGATCATCGCAGGTTTCAACTTTATCTAAACTGAAAGTTTATTCATACCAATATTGTAATTACATTAATAAAGTCCGTGTAAATAGCACATTTTCTAATTCAAAGTAGCATATATTTATTTCCCTGAAGATCAAGAGGTTGGTCAGTCAATAGATTAATACATTCTGTCACTTAATACCTGTGATAATTTAAGCAGCTAGTAAAATTCAATACTGGATAACACTAGGGTGAGAATATGATCCTGATCAAACATTTCTCAGTCTTTGTAAAAGATGACAGGTACTTGAATAGGCAAGTGGATGCAGTGCAGCTCTCAGTAAAATGCATGACAGAAGTGGAAGCAATGTTGTACCCTTGACAAATGTTAGACCACTTTAAAATGACAGAACTAAATTACGTTATATCTACTATTATGTGGACCTAATAGTTTTTTTGCTAAATAGGGAGAATTCTTTTGCTAAAGAAATATAGAAACTGAGACACTCATTCACTATTACCGCAAAATTATGTCAAACAGGTGATTATACCATTAGCTTTTCAACAATCTGATCATTTGATCCGAAAGCTATTAAAAGGAAAGATGTGATAAAGTCAGTTGCTTCAAACACAATATGAGCAGAATGAAAAGAAAACCTTGTAGAACCATTCTTTTATTTGTTCTACTTTCATAACGGTATTAATCAGAGTATTAACATGAGGAAGCATGTAAATGTACTTCTAGAATGCCTACAGCGCCAAACGTATAATAACTTAAACAAAACCTCTAAGAAGCTTTTCACTGTTGAAACATAATTTTGAAAGTGATCTTTCAGACTACTAAACCACACTTTTAAAAATCTGTGTAAAGCAGTTGTGTATCAAAGCTCTGTAAAGTTTAAATTAATTTTGACTCCTTTGCATTTACGATAGCAGCCTATTTTATCAAACTGTAGTCTGCTTTGAAACTATGAATACTCAGATTGACTGCAAAACATTCTCATTAAAAAAGCGATGATTTTTTCTTTCTTTTACCTATTAAAGAAGTGTCCTTCTGACAACTGAATGGCTACTGATACCCCCAAAGATGGCTGATAGCCTTCCTTCGGTATTTAAGTAGTTAAAAATGAATTTGTGTTTCTGACTGATGTTCTTATAAGGATTGACAGTATAAATACTTACTTGAACTTCTCAGTAAAATTTTCACTAAGAGACAATCATGGTGTAGCAATGTTTCCAAAAGCAAGTTCAAATTACAGTATGGCTGGGATAAGAGCAGTTTCAGCTGACCCTGGGCTGCCATTTCTCTGGCTGATGGAGTCCTTTCAAAATGTAAGATAAAGACAGAATAATGTAGTTAATTTATCTATGAAATTAATATCCTTAACGTGCAGATGTAATGCTAACTCCCTCAAATGTCAATTCCTCCCAGATTACTCTGAAAATGCTTTCATGCTTGCTTACTTTAAGGCAGCTCAGGGAAGGAATTACATTTAATCTCAACTAGCTAAAAGCAAATTAACATTTGGTAGTCTGCCAAAGTTATAACTGATACAAAGCAACCTCACTTATCTCTTTCATGGAACCATGTTTGCCTTGTTCTACCAGGCAAAAAGGATTTTTTTTGGTGCTTGAATATATTTAAGGCTATTATTCTTTAGTTCACTATTACATTGATTGTTTAGTAAGAGCTCTGAAGTGTCCTTGATGAAGTATATGAGGCTTTTAATTAAAAAACAGAGAGAATGCTCAAAGGGGCTGCAAGATTCCACACTAGGTTGACCAATTATTACACATCCTGAAAAATCCACCTGAAATATTAGACTGGTTGGGTAACTGCTTTGCCAGCAGGGAGAAGTGAGAAAGCGTAGTACAAATTCATTCGCTTTTATGGAGACTGCAGTTTGTTTTCTGTTTGTGGTTTCCATGTTCTGCAAAAGTTTAGGTTTCCAAACAAAAATATTCCAGGGCTTCCTCTGAACTCAGCCAATGACCCAACACCAACCGTTGAACTCACATTGGAGCAATTAAATAAAAAAATTAAAAAATTAAAATCCTGTCCTGCAAGATGTTTATCACCCATTGTATTATTGTACTATTTTCTTCTTCTTGAAAAATGTTTAAGAAGAAAAATTTTCAAGAAGAAAAATTTTTCTTAAAGCCTAATTTTTCATTCTTTTGAAGGTTTTAAAATTAAATTTCAATGGATGTTTAGCCATTGTATTTATTCATTTTGGCTATAAGTTTATACAACAATAGTCGCTAACATTGAAAGTTTATGCACCTCATATGTAAGCTTTTATGCACATAAATTTTACATGCACCAGTGTAAAAACTACATATGCACTGATGCATTAACTATCCAGGCATAAACATTACCTGCCAGTACACACACACACCACCTTCAGCATCAGTTCAAGCCTTCTTCATCAGGAGCTACATTATCCTGTCAGACTAGAGAAGGATTTATATGCCTCTGCACATATACTTCATGTGCCATTTACACACAACTATCAGGACAGAACTAAAATGGGTTCATGTGGCTGTTCTAACGGAGAGGAACTTCTCATTTACGTTGGACACTTCTATGACCATCTGACTCAGCCAAGTGTGCCACCACCCAACTCTGCTTGTATGCATACATGAGAAAAAACAGAGATGACTGCACAAAAACTTTGCTGTTCAGTCAAGGTTGCTGTATAGACAATATACCTGATACAAACCTACAGCGCCTGGAAATGAAAATGCCAGTTGATATACTCCTTTAGTTTAGTCCCTCATATGTATACAAGTTTCCATTACCAGAAAAGCAGTATGCCACATATCTTGCAGGGCAACCTTGAAGTAACCTAAGGATACCAAGCTTCCATAACCCCATTTCCCAGCAGGACCTTTACATCACACTATTATGTCAAAACCTCACAGTTAATACTGTAAAAGTCATTTTAGTAAAGGAGGATTTTATACACCTCAGCCTTTGAGATTTTAACAGTAAAGCAAATACCTATGACTTGATAAGCAACGTACGTGCCATGAAAACTTATGTACAGCTTTTGTGATTTTCATCTGGTACATTATATATAATTGCTGATAACGTAGCACTGGCTCGACAATTGTATTTTTGCATATAAGCACATACTGGATTCTAATCATATTTATCAAAAATATATACATTTAAATCTTGATAGAACTTGCAGCCAAAATAATTTTTCCATATTTAAAACATGTATTGCATTCAAATTTTCAACTTTAGGGCTCTTCATTCTTAATAGTATTATCTTAATTTCTGTATATTCAAGATTAGTTTTATATATATAAACTCTAACACATGTTAAGAACTAATTTGTAGCTAGTAATTAATGTTGAAAGTAAAACAATTACTATATTCACACTAGAATTAGTGCTGTGGCTGAGAGCAAACTCAACACTTCACTAATTCAGTTAAAATATATGGGCCAGTTTCGTTTTGTTTCTCACTTGAATGCCACATTATCATATCTAATAAGGTCACTCATTGCCTTTGAACTATAAGGAAAGGAACAAGTTTGGTCAATTAGATTTATGAAGGATAATATTTTAAATTACTTTAGAAATAAATGCCATTTTTAGAATATTTGAGTTGAAATAAAACTTGTCTGTCATTGACCAGATGGGAAGTTATCGTGTTGTAATATACACCAGTTCTTGGCTCTTTAAGCCTCTTGCAAATTGAAACGTACAATGGTGTGACTCACTTGGAGGAAAAATAAAATATAGCAGACATTCCCTACAGCCATGAAGCTAGCACCAATAAATGCACTGAGAAGTTTTGTAACGTGCATATGGAGAGGCATATGTTCTCCCATCCTTGTAGCTCAGTACTAGTGAAAATAAGACTAGCCTCATAAAAAGTGACAAAAGGTGAAGTACATATAAATATCACACATATAAATGTTCAGTTTTGTATGGTAAAAGAAAAAAAACAGAACTCTGATTTGCAAATGGTATGATTATAAACCCCAAATGAAGCAAAGAATGAATCACAATTACCACTAAAGGAACTGTAATATAAATTATCAGTAATTATTTAGTTTGATAACCAACTATGTTATTTTGGTTAGTATCCAAGACAGAAAAAAAGAAAACCTCAAATGATAAGTTCAAGATTTTATAAGGCAAATACACATTAACACTAATTCATGTTAATAACATTGACAAAGACGTTGAAGTCAAATAGATAGAAGAAAACAGACTGTAGCCATTTTTAGGCATGAAAAATAAATAGCGAAATTGTAAACAAAATCATTTCAGGAACTAGCAAAACTTTCTCTTGAAATATCAGGCTTAGGAAGAGCAAATACTTAATAGGTACATTTATGCCAGGTTAGAGTCTTCAGTTAAAAATTAGGTGGCCACAGCTGGGAGGTGTACAATGGCCTGCGCTTCCTATTTTGTTATGGACAGTGAATATATATTTTTATTAGATGTAAGAAGTAACACCATAAAACAATCCAGGAAGAATTATGATGCTCTAAAAAATAGTTTTCTGCAATACTTAAACATAATGTGTCTTGTTAACACTCTAAATGCAATATTTCAAGAAAGAAAATCTTCCATGACATAAATACACAGTGTAACAAAATTAGAACACCTCAGAATATGTCCCTCAAACTCCTTCATTACACTCAGGGTCTTTCACTGTTTTTGCTGAGCAGCTGAAAGGTGTGTTGTTAAAAGAAAACATTAAATATTTTACCAACATAGTTCACCCATTATCGCCAGGACAGTACACATGGCTTTATATATATGGACCGTCCTCACACATGTACACTAACTATATCTTCTGAGAAGTGTGCTTTCTTTTGGACTCCTCATTTTCCCATTTGGTAGTCAAGAAAATGTATATTTTCTCACCTTTTATCCAGAGAAAATATGTAAATGCTGGATAGCTCTGGAATAGTTTTCTGCTACTTATTCAAGACAAATCTGTCCTAAATAGCATCTGTAAAATCTTAAATCCACCTCAAAAAAGAGAATTATGTCAGGCTGAAATGGTGCCAGAATTTCCTTTACATACTTTTACACAGTGGAGGGTACTCATGCTTGTGAAGTCATCTTCCAAAACTCGTAATTCACAGTATAATTTAAATTTTGAGTACTGGCCTTGGGTTAGGGCATCAAAAAGCTTATCGTCTTTTCTACAATGAGTCCTTAATGATGCATAAATTTTCCCAGAAATAGAGTAGATCCCTCTTGAAGTGATCATGCAGTCATTCCCTCTCCTATATCCCCCCTTCTCCTCTCCTTTCTCTCCACCCACGCATAACTTATAAAGCCACTGACAAATTTCCTTGAAGGTCGATTGAGAGGTAAAAACATATGATATTTCAAGCTTTAGAAAAACTTAAATTACTATTTCAAGCAGAGAAGAGGACACATTCTGTATTCAACAGTTATTCACTCTGTTTGGCATTTTGGTTAGCCCACCATACAACTTTGACTCAGTCACAGCAGCTTTTGCCTCTGGTTCGGCAGGTATCAGAGGCACCAGGGAAGGAGATAACAGTACTGCTGACGTATAGTTAGGCATGAAGGCTATGGAGAGAAATCAGCATGTTTTGTGTAGTGTGGGCCAAAATCACAGGGAAGATACTGTGATGTACAAGGTACAAGATACTGTGTGTCCAAGGTAAGAGGTAATAAATCCACAGCACATTGGTCTTCAATAGGTCACCACAGGTCACCACTCATATGATAACGTATTCCTCCAAAATACAAAAATACTTTCTCAGAAAACAATAACAACTCACAAAAGCAGCTTTTCATGAAAACGGAGAGTGAAAATCTCTCAGGAAATAACTTTTGAAGAGGAGGAGGAGGTGAAGGGGTTAGGAAAGGATCTGCACTGGTGTGGGAGTGCTTCAGGTTCAAAATTAGAAAGGGAATGACAGCACAGCTGGTAGCATATGTCTCATATGTAACTTGTCATTATATGCAGTGACACAGAAAAAGAAATTAAGCTTTTGCCTCTAATCATGCAGTAATCTCCCCAAAAATCAACTACGATCAAGCACCATATTTTTCAATGAGTTATTTATATATCAACCCTTTTTTTTAACCAGCAGTCATAAACAGAGGCATACATTCTTTATCTCCCCTTTAATTATAAGTCTTTCAAAACAGCAACTGTGCTGAACTACATTATTGTCAAGAGTTATATACTCTTTAATTAAAGCAAGAAAACCTTACAGATAATTCAAATATCAAACATAATGAATATACTAGCAAAAAGCTACACAGCGCACTGCTTTCAGCATGACCTTTCTTACAGACTCTTAAAGTTTAAAGATTAAGGAAATCTGCAATGAATTAAAAAAAAAGTTTCTATGTTTTTTTTAATCGGAATATTAATTTGACTTTTATTCAGATATACTCTTTTCAAAATGCTGTAACAGCATTTGATTAATATTGACTATCTGGTGATTCTTTTACAACAATCAACTTTTGATACTCACTTCAGTAAGGAAGAACAGGATGATGGTATGCAAAATAACCAGTGTAATGGATGATAAAAGACTTTTGAAAAATCTTGAGGAAGGTGTTCATCACAATTGTTTAAAAATGTCCTGAAAAAAACCAAATACTTCTGAATTACATGGAAGACTGAAAATCCCTTCGGATCACTAGTACTAAATATATACAAATGAGACAGAAAATCCCTTAAGATAAATAGTACTAATATATGTATGCATACACATAATTGCAAATTTATTTATCTTATATACTGTTAAAAATGTCATTCTATATCTTACTTTCACTCTTTGAAACTTGGTATCTAGCACTGTTAGTACTGTTAAAGCAATTTTCTTCATATTTTTACTCCTATATAGCATGTTTTCAAACTATGTTTGAAAATGCATTGAATAAGCAAATTGCTCTTCAGTCATTCATTTCTATAGCTCTTTTCTTTCTGCATAATACATGCATCATATTACCAATCCTTTTATCATAATCATAAGTAAAATATCTTCTGAAATTATAATGGTTCTCTTTTGAATAAGATGCAAGTACGTACAGACTTTGGATTAAACTGGACAAAAATTTGAACCAGAAGCTTTGGACCTTCACTGGCTTGTGAGAAATAGAATACTGGTTGAAAAAAAACGCTGTTTTCAAATATAAGGACTGGTGAAGAATTAGATAAGCTAGTTTTATGTCATTTCTGCATTACTTCTCTTACCCAAAAGATGTGAGAGGCAAAAATCAAATGTGTCCAATCCTCTGATACTAAAAATTAACTGTTTTCATTAATTAATGATATTATATGATTATAAATATATATAATTATAAGAACAGGATTATAGAATTTAATATTTAGCTTTCACTTTTATTTAATAGTAAATAATAATAAATGTATTAGTATTTGTACAATTCTGTAGCAACCACTAGGATGCAATAATGTTTAATAGGAATGGATGCCCCTTGGCCTCTTCCCTTTTTACTCTCATTTACATGGAATACAATTCCAACAGAGAGGATATAGTCTGTTACATCCATCCTCCATTAACCATAATCAATTATCACTTCTTTTGCACCTTACTTTTCAATTTTCTTGGCTGTGAATTTTTCATCTTAATAACTTTCCTTCTCCGAAGCTTGTTTCTTTATGTATCATGGTTGGGATTTTCTAAGTTACATAAAGAAGGTAACTACCTTTAAAAACACCATTTCTACAGAACTCATTTATGGTATATTTACTTTACTTTCTAGAGTGATTCAATGTCATTTCCACTTTTGAGTCAGTACTCTTTCTATTGCAGTAAAAGTAGAGGGACATTTAAAAATACCTCAGGAAAAGATACGAGGACTTTCTCAGGACAAGAGAATCATAGAATCATAGAATCATTAAGGTTGGAAGAGACCTCCAAGATCATCGAGTCCAACCGTCAACCCAACACCACCATGCCCACTAAACCATGTCCCTAAGCGCCTCATCTACCCGTCTTTTAAATACTTCCAGGGATGGGGACTCAACCACTTCCCTGGGCAGCCTGTTCCAATGTTTAACCACTCTTTCAGGAAAGAAATTTTTCCTCACATCCAATCTAAACCTCCCCTGGCGCAACTTGAGGCCATTTCCTCTCGTCCTTTCGCCAGTTACTTGGGAGAAGAGACCGACCCCCACCTCGCTACAGCCTCCTTTCAGGGAGTTGTAGAGAGCAATGAGGTCTCCCCTCAGCCTCCTTTTCTCCAGGCTGAACAACCCCAGTTCCCTCAGCCGCTCCTCAGCAGACTTGTTCTCCAGACCCCTCACCAGCCTCGTTGCCCTTCTCTGGACATGCTCCAACATCTCAACATCCTTCTTGTAGTGAGGGGCCCAAAACTGAACACAGTATTCGAGGTGCGGCCTCACCAGCGCCGAGTACAGGGGCACGATCACTTCCCTACTCCTGCTGGCCACACTATTTCTGATACAGGCCAGGACGCCATTGGCCTTCTTGGCCGCCTGGGCACACTGCCGGCTCATGTTCAGCCGGCTGTCGACCAGCACCCCCAGGTCCTTTTCCGCCAGGCAGCTTTCCAGCCACTCTTCCCCAAGCCTGTAGCGCTGCATGGGGTTGTTGTGACCCAAGTGCAGGACCCGGCACTTGGCCTTGTTGAATCTCATACAGTTGGCCTGGGCCCATCGATCCAGCCTGTCCAGGTCCCTCTGCAGAGCCTTCCTACCCTCAAGCAGATCAACACTGCCGCCCAACTTGGTGTTGTCTGCAAACTTACTGAGGGTGCACTCGATCCCCTCGTCCAGATCATTGATAAAGATATTAAACAGAACTGGCCCCAATACTGAGCCCTGGGGAACACCGCTCGTGACCGGCCGCCAACTGGATTGAACTCCATTCACCGAGTGAATGGAGTTAATCTTTTCACAAGACATAAAAAAAGCCACTGCCAGGACATGGAAACAGTGAAAGCGGATCTAAACACTTAAAACTGGAGACAGAATGGAAACCCATTGCAACAGAGCCTTCAGGAACTCCTAACCTAAAAGGTAAAATCACCTCTTTCTTACAGGGTACTTTGTCACCACGGCATTTGTATTTTGTCATCAAAACACGGTATTTGTGTTTTGTCATTTAATTATTTAAAATTACTTTTTAACTTTTTCACAGCTGCATATAAGTAATTTAGAAGTGTATAGTGTATAAGTAATATAGAAGTGTCTATAAGGTCACTGTCTGCCTATAAGACCCCAGATGAAAGAAGAGAGAGAATTACACTTGTTCAACAAGAAAGACAGGTGTATAGCTTCTGAACTTCTCCAAAAGATAGGGTGATTTATTTGAAAACTAATTTTACTAATCAAACAATATTAGTAGGAAGAATTTACTACAGACTTCAAAATGATCTTAAGTATGCAATATCTGAGCATAAGGATTAGCAGACAGTGAATTTGTGCTCTTTGTGAATTCATGAAAACCTGAAGATTAAAAATAAAGCTGAAACTGTAATATAGATAAAGAGAGAGCTTAAACTAGAAAATAATTATTTTAAAGACAGTAATTTCAGCATTGTGAGAAAATTAAAGAAAAAAATCTTATTGTCTCTCATACTCTGAAATATTTTTCTTAATATAGCAAAACATAGAGCCAAATTCCTACAAGAAAGCATGATAGATAGTGTTTGGGTAGTAATCTAATATCCAACACATCTTGTCTAGTGTTGGATAGTGTTTGAGCTGTTTGAGAGACTTCTGGGCTAAAGCAGCTTGTTAAGTATGGTTTCTTAGCTGTCTCCTAAGGACAAGCACAGGGCAGACTTTTGAACTCTGAGGCTTATAACAAAACCTCTATACACATTTTTAAACTGAGATGGAGATAATCTGAAGGCTTTAAAGATTGTTTAAATATTAGAATAACTTCAAATACTATAAAAAATCAAGTGTCTAATGATAATACAATAATTCTGGTGCCAGCATTTCTCACTGTCCACTGCTGGCTATGTAATTCTTGCCAGGAAAACCCAACTCTGTGCCAAACAGTTTAATTCAACTACTCTTCTGACAGAAGTATAATAATAGCTAGTAGGAAATTTGTTTTGACTACAAGTTACGTTAAAGCAGCTGCCTATAGTCTCAAAGCAGTGGACAGCATCTGTGAAAGTACTTAATACCACAGCAAGATTCCAAGTTACAGTAGTTTTATTCTTCAGTAGAGTATGACAAGGTGAGAATTGATCTCGTAAGCCTCAGTGCAGGTGTGAAAAAATGAGATGCCAACAAGATGCATCCTAATGGTATTTCCTTGTAGACTTCGAAGGATTTATCTCTGTATAAGGAATAAACATGACTAAAAAGCAACTTCATGAAGTATAACTCATATATTAAAATTAAGAGAAATATTTGCCATTTTTAAAATTGAATGACAGATATTTTTACCCAATAGACAGCAATTTTACAAATAGAATCTCTAAATTCTTCTCTCAGCATTCAAGTCATTCACCTGATTTCTTGTTGAGAAAGTAAGATATAATAATTGATAGTATGAAATCACAAAAAGGTGTATCCACCTTACTCTTTATGATCTTCCCTAACAGAAAGATTGTCAACTCCTGCTCAGTAAGGAATACAGAAAAAAGCACAAGAATAGATCTGCTCCAACTTGAGCACCCTCAACCTGGTGCAGAAGACAGTCTCTACTCTGAAGTCATAAATGGGTCTCTTGTACTGCACATGGCCAGCCTACTTCTCCTGGATAATTTCATTTTGTAAAAAATAATGAATGAAGAACAGCATTGGATACTCCTATGAAATCCACAAGCAACATTGAAACTGTTAGATCCACTGCACAAAACCCAGCTACTTGAACTGAGTAACTGACAACAACCTTGTCAGTGAGTAAGACTATGACGACTGGAAATTCTGAGGGGTGAAAATCCTCTTTTTTCAGAGGTTTGGGCCTGCAGCAAGAAAATAGCAACACCGGGTAGTTTTGGGAGCATAGTCTGAAGACTGCTGTTGTTCAACAGTTTCCTGAATAACCTGGACAAAAGTGGACAGACAGAACACACATTCAGGACATTTGCAGGTGACACTAAACAGGGGGAAGCGGGCACAATAGTTAACACAATAAACTAGAGTGCTAAGTCATGGATGACTGGGCCAACAGAAACTCACAAAGTTCACTGAGGTAAAGTGCAACTTTTTGCTCCAGCAACAGAATTATAATAACCTAGGCTGTGAACTGACTGACCGAGTACCAACCCTACCCAACCCCAAGCCTGGGATTTATGGCCAGTAGGGTGTTTCATATGAGGCAACAGTGTATTCTCACTAGAAACAATGCAAACCACACACTGGGCTGCATTAGGAGGAGTATGGCAAGCAAACTAAAGATAGTGATTCACTTCATCTACTTGGCAACAGTTAAGCCTTACCCAGAATATTTTGTCCACGTGTTGGGCCTACAGCTCAAGGAGGATGTGAGGAAACCGGAAAGGACGAGACTGCATCATCTATGCCAAGAGGTTGAGGGATCTAGGCTCCTTTACTCTGGTGAAGAGGTGGCTAAAGGGTCAAGTCATCTAATGGCAGCCTACAACTACCCAAAGAGTAATTACAAAGACAACA